TTTTGTTTTCAGTGTGTTTTGTTTTTAGTGATTTAAGTTTAGTGATTTTTTTTGTTTTTATTGATACTGATTTGTTTTTAGTGGTGTTTTTAGTGATGTTTTTAGTGATGTTTTTTGTTTTAGTGACGTTTTAGTGATTTATTTTAGTTTTTAGTGATGTTTATTGTTTTTAGTGATGTTTGTTGTTTTTAGTGATGTTTATTGTTTTTTAGTGATGTTTTTAGTGATGTTTGTTGTTTTTAGTGATTTTGTTTTTAGTGATGTTTTTTTTGTTTTGTTTTTAGTGATGTTTTTTTGTTTTTAGTGATGTTTTTAGTGATGTTTGTTGTTTTTAGTGATGTTTTTTTTGTTTTTAGTGATGTTTTTAGTGATGTTTTTTGTTTTTAGTGATGTTTTTAGTGATTTATTTTTGTTTTTAGTGATGTTTTTTTGTTTTTAGTGATGTTTTTTTGTTTTTAGTGATGTTTGTTGTTTTTAGTGATGTTTTTAGTGGTGTTTGTTGTTTTTAGTGATGTTTTTAGTGATGTTTGTTGTTTTTAGTGATGTTTTTAGTGATGTTTGTTGTTTTTAGTGATGTTTTTAGTGATTTATTTTTGTTTTTAGTGATGTTTTTTTGTTTTTAGTGATGTTTTTTTGTTTCTAGTGATGTTTTTAGTGATGTTTTTAGTGATGTTTTTAGTGATGTTTGTTGTTTTTCTGTACTAATAAATAACCGCCCCGCCCTCCTGCAGCCTCACCTGGCAGCTGATAACCTGGAGCTGATCAGAGACGAGGATGGAAACAACCTGCTACACGTGGCGTCCTCTCAGGGTCACGCTGACTGTCTGCAGCACCTCACCTCTCTGATGGGAGAGGACGGCCTCAACGAGCGCAACAGCCAGCAGCTGACCCCCGCAGGCCTGGGGGTGAAGGTGAGTGTGCTAACTAAAGCCTGTAAGCTAACATGCTAACTGTAGCGCGAGCGGTGAGGTCAGAGGGTTAGGAAGAGGTTTGTGATAAAACAGTTGAAACACTAACATCAGCTCTGTTGCAGCAGTCAGCTCAAACAATCAGAACTGAGGAAAGTGGGTTTTTCTGGCTCCTGCAGGCTTTTGACTGGCTTCCAGACAGGAAGTGTGTTATCTGGAGCTCAGCTGGACAGCTGTGTCCTGAGTCCTGACTGGATCTTATCAGCAGGACACGTGTTTACTCTCTCAGATTTACAGTTTCCACTGAAGTAAACGTGGAAACGTTCAGCTCCTTCAGACGTTCAGGTTGAACATTTAGCTCAGGCTGTGGTCAGCCCGTCTCCAGGACCTGAGTGTGTCTGCTGCCGTGTCTTCCTGTGACAGAACGGACACCTGGAGTGTGTCAGGTGGATGGTGAGTGAGACGGAGGCCATCGCTGAGCTGAGCTGCACCCGAGAACACCCCAGTCTGATTCATTACGCTGCTCGTTACGGACAGGTAAGAGCTCACCTGTGCCTTTAGCTTTTAGCTGGCCTTTCACTGCTTTCAGCTAATTGATTACTTTAAACTTTAACTTTACTTTTAGCTTTATTTAACCTTTCACAGCTTTCAGCTAATTAATAACTTTAATAAACTTTACCTCTACTTTTAGCTTTTAGCTGACCTTTCACTGCTTTCAGCTACACTTCAGATACTTTTAGCCTATTTAACAAATTAATAACTTTAAGAAAACTTTGCCACTACTTTTAGCTTTTAGCTAACCTTTCGCTGCTTTCAGCTAATTAATAACTTTAATCAGCTTTATCTCTACTTTTACCCATTAGCTACTTTTAGCTTTTAGCTAATCATTCACCGCTTTCAGCAGTCTTCAGATACTTTTAGCCTATTTAACAAATTAATAACTTTAAGAAAACTTTGCCACTACTTTTAGCTTTTGGCTAACCTTTCACTGCTTTCAGCTAGTCTTCAGATAATTTTAGCTACTTTAATCTTTGAAACATTAGAAGTCTGTTTGAAGCTGCACCCTGCCGTCCTGACTCAGGGCTGTAAAAAGCTTAAATCTGTCCCTGCAGGAGAAGGTCCTGCTCTGGCTGCTTCAGTTCATGCAGGAACAGGGCATCTCTTTAGACGAAGTCGACCAAAACGGAAACACGGCCGTTCACGTTGCAGCTCAGTACGGACACCTCACCTGTATACAGGTGAGCTGCTGACTGGCCTCAGAACCAGGTGGTTCTACCTGCGTCACCGTCCTCACCCTGTGATGTGTGTGTGTCCAGACTCTGGTGGAGTACGGGTCCAACGTGACGGTCCAGAACCAGCAGGGGGAGCGTCCGTCTCAGTGTGGAGAGAGGCAGGGCCACACCACCTGTACGCGCTACCTGGTGGTTGTAGAGACCTGCATGTCTCTGGCCTCGCAGGTTGTTAAACTCACCAAACAGCTCAACGAGTGAGTGTGTTGTTTGTTTGTTTGTTTGTTTGTTTGTTTGTTTGTTTGTTTGTTTGTTTGACTCAGTAAATAAACTGATTAATATTTATACTTCATTAGAATCCAGGTGAGTTTATCTGAGCTCTTTCATCAGTTTCATCTGTTTAAAATGATTCATTAATAAAGAAACAGAAAATAAGATTAGTTTAATTTGCTTTAATTAACCTCTCCTTGGGCTGCTACCTTATCGTGGTGGAGGGGTTTGAGTGTCCCAATGATCCTAGGAGCTATGCTGTCTGGGGCTTTATGCCCCTGGTAGGGTCACCCATGGCAGACAGGTCCTAGGTGAGGAATCAGAATAAGTACAGCCCGAAGACCCCTTATGATGTTTAAGAAAACTGGATCTGACGTTCCCTTGCCTGGATGTGGGTCACCGGGGCCCCCCTCTGGAGCCAGGCCTGGAGGTGGGGCA